AAGTGGACTCAGTTTGCACTATTTCTGGCAGTCTGCAAAGGCCCAATGCTACCAATGTCTTTCGTTCACTTAGGGCCTTTGCAGACTGCCAGAAATAGTGCAAATTGAGTCCACTTTAAGGGTTAGGGTTAGTGCTAGGGAATCATGGGAATTTTTTTTCTGAGACATTCTCTGTCAGAGAGCTCTGGTGCCACAATAAAATACAGTTCCCATGTTTCCCTAACCCTAAAAGTGGACTCAATTTGCGCTATTTCTAGCAGTCTGCAAAGGCCCTTAGTCCCATAAGTGCTACAAGATCCCTTTGCATACTAATTTAAAATATTGTGATAGAAGACTACCAGCAGAGGAAATGTCACCTGTCTCAAAGGGTGAAAAGAAAGTACAGGTGATATGTGCCCAGTCCCATTGTTCCTAGGTTACAAAGGCTTTGGGTAGCAACTGAAAGCTAACACGTAAGTTTGTCTGCCATTAGACTGACATTTAAGAAAGCCAAGAAAATCTGTTGGCCTAGGTCTAGGAGATGGAATCAGTGTCAGCAGTTTGATGACATCTTGTTCTGTCTGTATCCTTATTGGTTGTCTGCAGAGATATAACTCACCATTAGGCCCTTAAAATAAGATATTGTAATAATATTTGTAATGGCTAGCCAGCAATCTATGTCTTCATGTTTGCCACGCAACTAAATCTGGATTTTTTTAGAAGTCATCAGTGTAAACCAGATTACTTGGAAACTATTAAAGATTCATGTAGGAGAAGGAGTCAAATGTCACACCTTTTGATCCACCAAGCATTACTGCAGGATTCAATTCCATCAAGGTGTTTGTATCACCAAGAAAAGATATTAGATTAAAAGTTCCTTTTAGTTAATTTTCAGGAACCTCTGATTGGTTTTAGCAAGAGAAGTTCCTCCACCCACCACTTTGCAACAAGCCCAGTTTTATAAAACTACTAATACCACTTTCCAAGTTGAGCATGGAAGATGCTAGATGTTTACTGCCTTAAAGTTACCAAGAAATGTTGCTACAGTAGTCATATGTGCTTTGATCGCTTCCAGTTTCTTTGCCTCTTGTATCTATATATTGCTCCTTACTGATTTTTTCATCTTGATTTGGCACTTGGGGAGAGGCAAGCAATGGAGCTGGGAATTTTGTCTTAAAGTACTGAAAGAAAATATCAGGAAGCCTTCATAATATGTTATTTATTGATTGATTGATTTATACCCTGCTCTTCAGCCAAAAGGCTCTCATAGCGGCTTACAAATGGTTAATTAGATGGTTCCCTGCCCTCAAGCTTACAATCTAAAAAGACAAGACACAAAAGGAGAAGGGAATGGTGGTGGGGAAGGGGAATAAGTCCAGCAGATCTTCTTTCCCTCTAAAGCTTGGACCAAGGCAGATGGACTGGAGGGAGGGCCCTTGTTCTTACTGTGGCCAGGCCCAATGGAGCTGGCCTACCTTCTCTCCCTCGATGATGGTGGATGGAGGGGGCCCTTCTTCTTGTTCAGGCTAGGCCTGATGGAGCTGGCCTGCTTTCTCTCCCTCTATGATGGTGGTTAGAGGGAGGGCCCTTCTTGTTCAGTCTAGGCCTGATGCAAATGGCTTGCCTTCTCTCCCTCAATGATGGTGGATGCAGGGAGGCCCTTCTTCTTGTTCAGGCTAGGCCCAATGCAGATGGCCTGCCTTCTCTCCCTCAATGATGGTGGATGGAGGGAGACCCTTCTTCTTGTTCAGGCTAGGCCCGATGGAGATGGCCTGTCTTATCTCCCTCAATGATGGTGGATGGAGGGAGGGCCCTTCTTCTTGTTCAGGCTAGGCCTGATGGAGATGGCCTGCCTTCTCTCCCTCAATGATGGTGGATGGAGGGAGTGTCCTTCTAAGTTTAGTAGTACGGCTTCCAGTTTAGTAGTTAGCTTTAGCTTTAATTATGGAGCCAACCAGAAGATGTAAGGTTGCAAGACATGGGGGAATTGGTTTGATCCCTGAGCAAAACTGTTACTAGAAACCTGCTCCCTTTGCTTATAGATGAAATACTTTCCTAGTCTGAAACTGGAGGCAGTTATTCAACTGATTCACTTATTTAACTGATCTTAAAATGATTCAGATAAGCTACTTATCATCTTGATGTGACCAGCTGTACATGGGAGGTTGAGTAATTAATAATTTAAGAGATTCATCATTGGAGAATTCTGTTTTTAAAGGAAGTAATAACTCTCATGCTTTGAGCCCTGGGTACACTAACAGGGAAATAAGTGAGGAAACTGTGTCAGAATTAAGAAGATTAAGCAAACGTTCTCTAATATCAGTGCACAGTTCCTGGTATTAAGCTACTTAACTGAGTCAGGAATTTTGACCACAATTGAGAGGGCCTTGGGTACCATGCTGATACCATTATAATAAATTAGGGGGTTGAAAACTTAAACTAGAACTTCTCCTTAAGTGCATTTGATAGAAGAGCCTGAGGATAATTTCAGTTAAGAAAAAAAAGTTCTCCCCAATAAGGTAATATCTAAACCTGTACTAGGTTCCCATGTTCTTCATAACAGTGCAGTATATTATCAAAATGAAGAATGAAGCTGCTATTCTCTTTTCCAATCTATTTGTTGGTATCTAGAACCCAAACAAAGGTATTGCAATTGAACTAACACTGCAATTGCACTGTGCATCTACTCAGAAGTAAGCCCCAAGTAGTTTAATGAGAAATTCTCACAGATAATACAGTTTAAATTCAAAGATATTTTGTTGTTGTTGTGTGCTTTCAAGTCATTTCTGACTTATGGTGACCCTAAGCCGAACCTATCCTGGGGTTTCCTTGGTAAGATTGTCCGGTGTGATATTCCCTTCTCCTGAGGCTGAGAGCATGTGACTTGCCCAAGGTCATCCAAGGTCAAAATTTCGTGGCCAAGCAGGGACTCGAACCCTGATCTCCAGAGTTGTAGTCCAACATTCAAACCACTACACCACACTGGTTCTCCTAAAGATACTTTACATCAGGGGTAGGCAACCTTTCCCCTTTAAGGGCCAAGGGACTTCAACTCCCAGAATCCCAGGAGCTATTGGCCAACATGGGACTATTGGCCAATGTGACTGAGGCTTCTGGGAGCTGAAGTCCCTCGGCTCCTGCTTTACATGTTTATAATGTGATTAGGTATCTAGGATGGTATAGTGCAGGGGTAGGCAACCTTTCCCCTTTAAGGGCTGAGGGACTTCAGCTCCCAGAAGCCTCAGCCATGTTGGCCAATAGTCTCATGTTGGCCAATAGCTCCTGGGATTTTGGGAGCTGAAGTCCCTCGGCCCTTAAAGGGGAAAGGTTGCCTACCCCTGGTATAGTGGCTTTGGTGTTGGATTAGGACTTTGATAGCCCAGGGTTTGTTCAGTTCATCTTTATTATGGCCATAGACCAGCACAAGCCCAGGGTTTGAATCTCTGCTCAGCCATGGAAACCCACTGGGTAACCTCAGGCAAGCCACACTCTTTAAGCTAGCAGGAAGGCAATGGCAAACATCCTCTGATTAAATATTGCCAAGAAAATCCTATCATAGGATGACCGTAAGCTGGAGCTCACTTGAATAACCATGACAATAAATGCTTACACCTAGACAGGTGTAATTTCTACAGAATAATTTAGCAAACATGGTTTCAAAGGATGGGCTACTTTTTCTATAGAGTAGGGATAGCTGGACATGGCTTTCCATAACATCTACCTTTGCAGGACAATTGACTGTGTTCGAATCTAAGAATAAACCTTGTGCTTACACATGCTCCTCTCCTGTCTCTTTGTTCTGTATGCCCTTAAAGAAATTGGCTAGGATTCAACAGGCTCTTTGGACTGATGGATGAAGTCTCATCAGTAAATCTGAAAGGAAGTAATTCCTCATATATACAAAGTACCCACCTCCAGCCCTTTTCACCACTTAAAACTCTCTGGAGGGTTTCCTAACCATCTGGAACAGATATTGAGGACGTGCAAGGGATTGTGTGGGGAGGCGAAATCAGCCTATTTAGAAACTTGGTGATGCAAAGACTGAGATGGATCCAAGTCCAGAATTTTTTTCTTGTATTTTGGATTATCAGCAATTTAATGTTGTATGCATACTATAAATTTTGGTTAATAAATATTGTATGCTTAAATAAGATAGTTTTGTAACCCAAAATATGAAGCTGGCTTTTTGGTTTTCCAGTTTTTTTCTTCTCTAAACTAGCCGCAGGAGCATGTTGAAATTGCAAACACATTATATATTATTCCTATTTAGGCTGCCTTACATTGTATATTTTTCCTATTTAGGCTTCCTTGCATTCTTAATATAAAAGAAAGAATCTGCATAAATTCTGAAACTTTTTTAAAAATCTGCTGTCTCCACATTGCATACATTTCTAGGCAAGCAATATATTATATATTCCCCAAGCTTCTGTTCTAATTTTGTTCCAGTTAAAGCTGGTCTTCAATACAAATAGCATATGTTTAGATACTTAGTTGTGTTCATTTGTATATAATTTATGTACTTCATTATGAATTTGGTAAGTATAGTACTGGAGTCCACGAAAGCTTATACTAAAATAAATTAGTCTGAAAAGTGCAACAAAATTCCTTTCTTTTTATACTGAAATAACAACACAGGTGTTTGTCTAGAACAGGGGTAGGCAACCTAAGGCCCGGGGGGGCCGGATGCGGCCCCCCTGAGGCCTTTGGACCGGCCCCAGGCCAGTCCTGCCGCCGCCGCTGCCTGCCATAATGATATTGATTATTGTTATTATTAGGTACTTGTTCTTCGGGTTTTCTTGGCATGGCTTTTCTGGGGCTGAGAGAGTGTGCATGCATATTTTTTTATTTTATTAAAAAAATTAATTTTTCTTTTTATTTATTTATTCATTTATTTTTGGTGCTTCGGCCCCCCAATTGTCTGAGGGACAGCAACCCGGCCCCAGGCTCAAAAAGGTTGCCTACCCCTGGTCTAGAAGATAAAGTGAATTCCATTTTCCTTTTGTATTATCTTACTACAACTCACTAAGGCAATATCCTTTAATAGCCACTTATACTAAGAGGCCTATCCCCGTATCTTTAACAAAGTAAGGCCCCAGTCAGATGGGCCAAATAGAGTGCCTTCTGGATGCTTTGGGGACGTGCCGTTTAGATGACACATGCCCCTGAAGTGGCAGGTAGCCACCAGCAAAAGGAGCGGATTTAATCTGCACCTGCCACTGGTCCATTTGGGACTGCAGAGGTGCAGCCTACTTTGGGAGCAGGTCATCTGGTTACCGCAGTCCTAGAGCAATTGCAGCCAGAGCAGTCAGAGATTGCTCCATCCAGGCCGTTTGCTTCGGCCCTATGTTTGCAGTCCTGTATGTGCTTACCTGGGCCCAAATCCCATTGAACTCAGTGAGACTTATTTCTAAGTAGGCCTACATAGGATTACACTGTAAACCTACTATCCTATATTTATTTATATAGAGCAATCCCTGTTTAAAACAATATGATTTTATACAAGTAGACTCAACACTTACAAGTAGACTCAACACTTTTCTACCAAAGTTCATATAGTGTCTGATAGTGTTTTAAAATCTTGATAACATAAGAGATGTATGTACAGCAGCCAACCTACTGTTTGTTTTGGAATTACTATCAGCAGAGGTGACCGCTGCTGCTTTCCCAATTTGTCTGGAACGTTAGTGAGCATTGAATTAAATAATTATTGATTCAGACTATTTACCTATGAAAGCAGCCTCAAAACAGCCTTCTATTGAGTAATTTTGTTTCAGATGAAGTAATAGCTAGTTCTCTACGTAAGTTGAAGGAGTTTGCCCTTTACTGTCAAAAGTGAAATGAGCTCACCCTTCTTTTTCCTTATATGTATACATTCTTTCATTGTGCATGAATTAGTCTGTTAACTCAGGGGGGATGCAGACCAGGGCGTCAGGGACGCCCTGGTCCGGAGCGCCACGGGACCGCAGCCTCCGCGGCGCTCCTGCAGCGACCCTAAAAGGACCGCCAAATTGGCGCTCCTTTTAGAAGTCAGGGAAAGTGCACCCTAAACGTGTAGGGCGCACTTTCCCTGTCTTTTCTGCCACAGCGCGTGCGGTCGCTGCGGCGGGAGGTTGCCCTGGGAGCGCCGGCCGTGCGGAGGGCCGGCAGCACCGAGAGCAACCTCGGGAAGAGGAAGGGGCGCCGCTCGTGCGGCTGCCCCTCCTCTTCCGTGCCTCCAAGACGACCCAATTAGTCGTCTGCCGAGGCCCTCAGTCTTCTTTTTCTTTGTTTCTATGAAAATAGTTATGGTCTTGGTTCTTTAGACATGATTAAAAATGATGAAATAGTAAATGATGTATGTGCATAATAGTAATGTGTACAATTAAATATTTAATAAAAAACAGATTTTTAATTAATTAAAATCTGTTACAAAACTGCTTACATATTATCAAAATTATATTGTATTGAAACATACTTCTCACTAAAAATAAGGTCTTATCAGTTCTTACTATGTTTAACTCTGCTCCATATCTTGAGTAGTAATTCATTTGACAGCAAGCTGGAAGATTTTAACTTTATCTGCAAACCATATACTAAAGCTAGGATAACATTTACCCACAAAGAAGTTAATGGGCCAAAAATGAAAGTATCCCCTTTCTTCCACTGTAATTTTATATTTATTACTTTCAGGCTTAAATCTGCTGTATGATTATTAGTATTTTGGGTGAGGAAGCCTGTCTCTGATGAAGTAATAGCTAGTTCTCTACATAAGTGACTAGGATACCCATATAGAAGCTTTAAACTTAATTTATCATGACTTAGGACAACAAGTCTCCTCCAAAATATTACAGCTTTGGTTTTCCAAATTGTTGCTTTTCTAATTAACTAGATAATCAGACTAGCAAAGTCTAATAACGTATTGAATTGTGTTAATACAATATATTAATAAAATACTAAAAATACAACCATTATAAAATATATTTTAAGTATCACCTATTCCAGTTAATCCTGTCAAAATGATCACAGACTTGCAAATTTTTTTGTCCTTGACGAGAGAGGATATCTTGATACGTGGGGGTGGGAGAGATCAACTGTTAGATTGGGATGGAGGGTTGTATTTCAGGACGTTTTGCAAAAATGTGCCAAAAACTTTGCTGTTTGCTTGAAAAACAATGGCCATGATCCTGCATTGTCAGGTTTAGCTACTCTGGTGAAGCTCCATCATCATTGCTGCTCCTGTTGATGCTGCCACCAAAGCACCTACCTCTTAACCCAGATAATGCCTCAACCAAAATGTTTCTGAGATGCTGCAGATCAGTGTGCTAGGAAACTGCAGCTGCAGTGCTCTTCCAGTCACAGGACAGGTTGACACAGGCAGCTGGAGCTACAACTTGGAGTTCTTGTTTCAGAGTGCTTCTTGACTCAAAGTGCCCTGCTGTTTCCCAGTGCCCTCCTCTACAGCACTTTGGAAACACTAGAGTTGGAGTGCTGCCTGGCTTAAGGGTTTTGGTGGCACTCTCTCAGCTCCAGGGGAAGGCAACGTCAAACCTCATCTGAATAATTCTTCCCCCCCCCCAAAAAAAATCATGATAGATTCACCTTAGGGTCACTGTAAGTCAGAAACAACCTGAAGGCAAACAATGACAACAACAAACATTTGGTCATTAACAATGGTAAACATGAACTCCAAAAATTTTGGCACTGTAAATCCAGTTTATAATCTCATAAATATGGAATAGGAAGGCAACTTATTTTCTGCACAAAACTTTTTCTGTGCAAAAAAAAAAAATGTTCTCTGTAAATGAAATTTTCACAAAAAGTCCCTATCTAAAAATATGCAAAAAATCTGTAACATCACCTCCTAGGAAAAATTCTTTATTCATGCATGCAAGAATAAAATAATGAGATTTAACAATTTGAGATGGATCTCATGGTATGTTTTTGTTTTGTTTAAGAAACCTCTAGTTAGGTCTCCATTCACCTTCTGGAAAATGACACAACTGGCCCT